GCTAAGTATAACTCTATTACAAATGTGTGTATTTTTATACTCCACTCCAACCAACCCAACCCCAACCCGTTCGTTTTAACTTTTTCCTACGTATTAACAATTTCTACTATTGATTCAACTACTGAATCAGACAATGCATATGAAAGAAAGTTTATATGGAAGAAGAGATTTAAGGATAAATTTAAAAAATTGGACTAGCGGAAATAAAGATGAATTTATAGAACAATCACAGCTTAATGTTGGTTACGGTACATTTCGCCGAAAGGACGTTTCGCCGAAAAATAGGGCCAATATTATGCAGAGTTATAAATAACTCAGGCCAGAGATTATTTTTCGGCGAAATGGCTTTCGGCGAAATGTGGTTTGAAATATCGATCAGTAGCCACTACATTATTGCCTTAGAGGAGTAAGATAGAAAATAGAAAAGAACTTATCATATTTTTAATTTTCTTTTATGATAAAATGAATTATATGACGTTCATCAAATTTATATAAGCGTGAGTTTTCGGTTCTTCATGTCTCATCTCGTAATGATTTGAAGAATAAAAAACAATCACATTCAAATTCCATTTAAATTATTTTATCATGTTTTGCTTTTGCATTAAAAATAAAGCAGATATTTAATTTTTATTTTTTTCTTAATGTCCTAATTTTCTTTATTTAATTTATCTTATATATAATAAAAAATAACTTATTCTCTTAAAAAAAATTTGTTTTTAAACATAGATTGTTCTTATATTCTTAATTTGTAAAATTCGAAGAGACGAAAAGTTTAACGAATAATGTATTTGTGTCTAGTAAATAATCCTTATCGAAGTCATGTGTTTGTGATTATTAAGAACATTGCATTACATATTAGTACCATATTGTATAATATAGTTATTGGATAGGTAAAAATATTGGTCACCGTAGCCATCCAATAACTGTATTATTACGCATGCCACCCACCCAACTAATTTTAACAGTTTTTATATAAAAAGTCTAATTAAATTAACGTGCTAATTTTATATAACCCACCCTAGATACTACAAACAATACCTATTATATAATAACATTTAACAATAAAAATCTGTAAGTTCACCAAGATATATATTACTTGATTTTTCCAAAATTTCTGAGCTTTTTAAATAAGGTATAGAATCATTAAAAATCTTAATGTTTTTTAGACCAGTTGGTGCTGATCTATTTAATATTCTTAATAATTCTTTGATATTTTCTGCCCCTTGCTCATAATTCCCACAATTATCATCAATAATTAAATTTAACTTCTTCAAGTTTTGACAATTTCTTAGTAATATTTCAAATTCAACAAAATGTTCCAGTGATGATGGGAACACCAACATTAATACTTCAATTATAGGGCAATTTTCATAGATACTGCTGATTAATAAAAGAGTATCTTTGGTGTAGTTTTCATAATGATAATCATCATCATAATAACTATTATAATTTGGCAATATTTCCTTAATATATCCACCACTATTAGTGATTATATTAATTACCGCATTCATATTTATATAATCTATATGAAGTATTTCTAGATTATAATATATCGGCAGTAATGTTTCATTCTTTGAGCAATACTTATTGAGTATTAACGTTTTCAACTTGTGAAATTTTGGTAGTATTCTGAATAACATATGTTCTTCATGATAAAGTAATTGGAAGTATAATATTAAATGATTTATCATATCTGACTTTTTCTCTAAAGCGAGTATTATCTTGGTATAAGGGTCATTCGTAATATTATGTTCGGTTTTAAAATCATCTGTCCATTTAAAATATCTTAAAATTTTCTGAACTTTAATTAATTCAACTACTCCATCATTTACGTTATGAGTTTTATTAATAATGATCAACCTCTGTATATTTTGACAGTTATATGCTAATCCACAAAAGTATGAAGGATTAGTAGATGTATCGCACGTTAATTCACAAAGTGATTCAAGAAGAGCCTTAGTTTCTGGAAGATAAAATGAAAGCATTTGATGATCAATTGATATCATATTTAAATACTTCAAATTTGTACATTGTCTTATTAAGAAACTGCAAATTTTTCGTTGCAAAGAAGGTTTAATCATAGAAATTATTTTTTTTATAATTTCTATATTAATGCAATTGCAGAAAGATAGATAATTAAATGAAAGTTGTTGGTATGAAAAAAGTAAGTGACTTGGTAATAATATTTTAATATCTTGAGGTAAATAGAAACAAATAATGTTGAATAAAGAATTTTTATTACTATAAGTAATATTGTACTGCCAAGGGTTTTTCCATAAAATATGAACTGCGATTTCACACCAAAGTTTATTGATCATTAAACACGAAAATAAAGTTTTTGGATCATCTTGAAGTTCTTCAAGTATTAAAAAAAGAATATCACTATTGTATTTAATAGCCATTTTATTTTGTTTTAGGGGGGAAAAAAAAAAGATTGATAACAAAATTTAATAATGATAAAAATGAAGGGTAAAAATCCATCCTTATATAAAAAAAAATCAGCAATTTTTTGCCAAGGCTTTTACGTATAATGATTTATTTAAAGAGTAGGGGCTCGCGTATTCAATTCGTAATTTGTTTCAAAAAAAACGAGTGATTTTTCTTCTACATTAAATTTTATTATATAACATAAAATGATATCTTTATGAAATCAATATATGATAATGCGTTATCGTACAATTTTACTGGTCAAAATCAAATTTTTACTTTGTTAACTATATATATATATATAATAAATATTCTTATCCTTGGTGATTAAATAAGAATAGAAGGTTTAATAACATTCACTTTCAGAAATTTCATATTTTTTTCAATTATAAAATGTACATTCGGAATTATAAAAATAATAATAATAATGTGGCGATTGTGGCGTGCGCACAATTCGATCGTGTATCATCTAATTTTAATTTGTTGAAAATCAAAATCAATAAGCTTAAATTTGTGCATAAAAATGATCTCTGTTTAATATATGGCGTTAATATATAAATAAATTTTATTACTACATATAAATTGGATTAATGAAAATTTTATTTAAACACCATCAATATTTTCGATTACATATCATTAATGTGTAATATCCGATATCACCGATATCAGATAACGATCATTGTTTCTTATTTTGATGTATAAAGTATATGAGGTTTCAGTTAAAAATAACACTACTTTAAAATATTTATTTTTTGTATCGCAGCTTACGGTTATTTTGTATAATTTCTACTATTAAAGATGGTATATCGAAATAAAAGATTCAAGCTAAAAAAAATATGAGAACTTGTCTATTTTTATTTTTGAATGATAATAATGATAATAAAATAAACAATCTATGGAAAGTGCTTTTGACAGCAGTAGACTTAGTAGTTGTTTACAACTACTTTGATTCACGGAATTCTTGTTCCGAATCAAGTGCTGGCCCCGTAAGATTAGCCAAATATACAACAAAACAAATCTTTGTTTATTCATTTGTTTTACAACAACAAGATGATATAGTACAGCTGCGATAACATTAAAATGAAACATATAAAAAAAGGGAATTGAACCGAAAAAACAATAGAAATATGTTTTTGTTTAATATTATTCAAAAGATTTCGAAACCTTCAAACAAATAATATTATTGATTACGTAATCATGTTTCATTTTTTGAAACTTTCATGTCTAAAATTGGATACAATGATGGTAATCGGATAGAACGTAGATTAATTCCGCCCCCATTTTCACTCTTTATTCTCTTTATTACGGCCGATAAATTATGGTGATACTACGTTTTATTACTTGTGTACGTAGATTAATTTTCTTTCAAACTGATAAGAGATTCAAATCGATTATGCAAACCCCTGTTTCAATAAATCATTTATCTTAATAACTGTTGGTACTAAATATAGTAATTAATTGATTGTTATGTCTGCAACAAATCGTTCCTATACAAATACAGTATGTTATAGTGTTTCATTTTATCCATACACAATTATTTATCATCTCATCATTAACAATGACAAACTGTTGCAGATGTTCTATCAAATTGCATAAAGACCCTGCTTCTTTATGTTCATATATCTTAGTATACTGTACCCTACATTATGGAAATGTCTTGCCTTCATAAATTTTATTAATTTATAATACAATACCAAATGTTCATGATATTTTTAAAGAATTTTTTTTTAGCGGTAAATAATGTTATTGTTTATCTTGACGTGGCGTAGTTAAATATCCAACCTTTTTTACTAGTTTTATTTTTAATAAAAGATGTCGAAAATTTTTTTTGTCATCCTTGTCTTAAAACGCACAAATCAAATTATTGGTCGAGTTATCTAAATTTTGGCCATCTGCATCAGAAGTGGATTTATCTCCTTTGTAAAATGAAAATTGAAGACATTAATTAGTAAAGCATTAAAAAGCAGCATTACGGAATTTATAAATGTATCAACTGCGCCAGCGCGAACATCATTTAACGAGATTTTACTATTGTGATTTTTTTTTTTTTTTGTTAGTCAAAAATGGAATAATGAAACATTAAAAGCCTTATTCTCCTAAATAATTTATTTCTTTCCATAACCTGCAAATAATCAATAACTTAATATAGTAATGATTGTCAAATAATGTATTATGATGTATTCTGGTGATCAGCAGGTGACGGTTAAATCATTTGAACATATATCAGAAAACGTGATTTATGATCATGTGATTTTGTTGCATATGGCGCGGTTGTGTCAACCAATATTATTTAGCGCAGTATTTATAATTCCAGAGCACATTTTCTTCATTTTGTAATCGATCAATCATTTATTATGATTTAATTAACATACAAGTGACTGAGGAATCAGTTGTTTTTAGAAATTTAGATATAATTTATTAATATGAAAAATTAAATCTTATTTGAATAAAATACTAGTTTAATAAAAAATATATATATATATAAATTTTAATGATTTAAAACCACTTTTTAATTCTTATAGGTGAATTTGATCGGAAGTTTCTAATGACTCCAAATTTTTTACCAAAAATTTTCAATTTACATATTGTTCATAATCCTTACTATTAAGTACATCTTTAGTATCGGACATATTATTATTTTCTTTTGTATAATAAATTTTTTTCAAATGTACACAATTTGAAAAAATATTACCAACTAAATTCAAATTATTAGGATTAATGACCATAGTTAATCTTATTATTTTTGAACAATACATAGATATAATGTTAATTAATGTTTCATTTTCGATTAAATAATCTCGAGACTCAAGTGTATGACGTATATTAATTTCTGAAATTTTGCCACCAGATCTTTCGATTATTAAGTATTCAATATTACATGGCAAGTATGAAGTTTCTAAATATTGTAAATTTGGAAAAAAGGACGTTCTTAAATAGAGCTCCCATTCTTGCCATATTATACTATTATAAAATTCACCATCATCATCATTATATAAGATTAAATATTGTAAGTTCGTTAATGATGGAAAAAAACTGGGTGAAATTAATGTGATGGTTAATCTCAAAATGATTTTTTTTAGCGTGATAGCATTACTACCAATCATATCACTTAATTGTTCACACAAAAGTGGTAGATTATTTTTCATTCTAATAAATGAAATTAAATCATCATTATCCTTACTATTTATTACTTCAAGGTCTGCTATATTTTGACAATCTATAATGGCTAAAAGTTCTGGAATCATATATTCTACATTTATTTTCAATTGACGTATGCCGGAAAAAAATTCTTTTACATTTGGACAAAATAAAAACAAACTTTTATTTTTAATCCAATCGAAATACTTTATATTTTTACATTTGCTAAAAATAAATTGATATATTTCAAATTCAAATACATTTTCTTCGTGAACAGAAAGAGAATCCGTCTTAATCGAAAGTTGTACCATATCTTCAATCCAAATCGGTGAAAGATAGGTAAAAAAATCCATATAATTAAATAATAATTTATTTGAAATTGGATTTGAAGGTAAATTAATATTTAATTCAGACAACTTATCTTTTGGAAGAAAATGGAAAATTATATTATATAGTTTTTTACGTGATTCTATTTTATGAACATAAGGATTATAAGAATAAAAAAAATATTTCCATAAAATTGGTATTGCCAAACAACACCAAGTTCTGTTCACTAAAATGCATGAATATAACGAAGCGGAGTCAAACCGCAATTCAGTTAAGATCAATAGAAGAATATCATCGATAAGTTTTGTCATTATTAATGAAGAAGGATAACGATAGAAATTATTAAATTGTAAATAAATTATGAGTATTAAATTGTATGAAAATAAAAAGTATGAAACAGTATGAAACGATAAAATATAACAAACGAACTCATGCTTAATTTATAATGTTTGTTAAATTTATGGGTTGTACACGTGAGAGACGAAAAACATGAATTTTGATCTACTAACAATAAAAAACCCAAAAAACCCCTTTGTAAGATGATTATTTTAATTTCTTTGTATAAAGAATCTGATATTTTGTTAATCATAAGCTGATTATTAAACTGATTGTTTAAAATCATCATACATAATTATCAATCTAAAGTGATCCGAATGAATCCATTTAGGGTTATATTGAAATGTACAAGTACTAAGCCACTTATTTTTTTATGAGAACAAATCAGAGTTTTTGTTTATCGAAGTGATTTGATCCGATTTTAATGAAAATTTATAGTAAAAAAAAAATATCATATTAGAAATCCATTTATGATTTTATTGAAAGTACATAATTTTCCTATATCCGGTAAATCCGAAAAAGCTCGGATTTTCTAAGAAAATTTTTATATTAATTTGTACTATTGTTGTAAAATTTTTTTTTTGAAATTTCTTAACTTTCTTCAATCCTTTATAAAGAAATCCAGTTTCAAACATAGATTTAATAACCGAATCCAATAACAAAAATAACAAAATAAGTAATTTCGTTGATTACAATTTTAGACGTTAATTAAATAATAAGACAATATCAGATATGGATTTTTGAAACTTAAATATTATATGTCAGTGAAGTAAGTCCATTGTTCTGTATGTAGATCATTATTTATGGACGTACGTAATGCATGTCTGAGATTTTAAATATGGTTACATTTTTCAATTACCAAAAGGTGGAGGTCAAAAATTAAATTTGAAATATGATTTTTTTTTTTTTTTTTTTAAACTGTACTACACAAGTGAAGTCTTGAACATCTTTTTTTTTCTTTAAAAAATGATAAAATGAATAAATTCCGGTAATGGTTAAGAAGTGCCATTTTTGTATTTATTATAAAAGTTCCGTCAGAGAAGTTTGAATCTTTTAAATGAAGAAAATTCATGTAAATCCAAAGAAAAAAAAATAATTGTGAAAAAGGAAAACTGCTTTGAGGAGCAAAGAATGGTAGGCGGATAAATTGTTTAGGTCGCACATACATGAATGGTCCATGCACGTGACCCGGATGATGATCTTCGATAAATTTTTTTTAAACGTATTTCTTTATTAGTAAAATGTGAAAGAACAAATTACATATTAAATACAAAAAATATATTGAAATTTAGTGAAACATAAGTTTGCCCTAAATCTCACCATATCAAAATCTTCGTATAATAAAACGAAATAGCAATTAATTAAATATTTGGAACTAAATTATATATATTCTATGTAGTATTGACTAAATTACTAATTACTTTGTTACCCATTAATCTAAATACGTCATCTTTACAGTAGGAATTTAATATGGTAATAATTAGTTAACAAAAAATTTATAAAATAATATGTATTAAATTATATTTACAAAATAATGTAGCTATTTATATTAATGATTTGACGTTTGAGTGTAGAATGAAATTCGGATTAATTAAGGAATTGTGAAAAAATAATTATCAATAAAAATTGATTAATTTTTTAGAAGTATTTTCTAAAAAACTTTAAATATTATGAAAATACTACAAATATTTTTATTAATTAATTATAAATTTTATAATTATTTCTTATTATTTTATATTACGTCAATCTTAAACTTATAACCAACTTAGGAAAAATATTTGAACAATTAAATTTATTAGAATCCGTTCATTTCATTTATTATTATTCTTCTTTTGATACTCATTTTACTCGATAAATTATTAATTTAACAGAGAATTTCGGATATGGATTTGGTTATAATAATCTATTATTATTAAATTAACAATTTCTTCAATTAATTGATTATAAAATATTGTAAAAATATCTTTTTTTTTTTTTTGATTTTTATGAATTTGAAAATCAAACTATTTATCCAGCGTTCAATTTAATTGAAAAAATCTTAATCATCTTTCTATCAACGTCGGTCAATTTTCCTACATGTCATATTGATTTTTTTAAAAAATAATAATTTTGTAAATATATTTAATATAATATTTTATTTCTTTATTTAATAATAATAAAAATTGAAAGAAAAAGAAAAAAAATTAAAAAAATATTGGGGAAAGAAAAAGGATAAAGAAAGAAATCGGTTTAAAAAAAAAGGGAAACTTCCGAAAAAAAAGGAATCCGAAAAAAAAATAAGTACCGAAAAAATTCCGAAAAAAAAGGACAATAATTCGATCCAAAAATTAAAGGACAAACTTTATTTTATTAATTAAACCCCTCTTATCATTCGATCCTTACTGAATGCTCCTCATTACATGTCTATATATATCTGATATATAAAAGTTCTAATAAAAATATCTAACATATAGCTATATTAAATATATTAACTAAATTAAACATAAACATATTTAATATATCGCATATGCAGCATTTGGAACATTGATCGTTAACGCCGAATTTGGTCACGTGATCGATCGTTTGCTACAATAGCGTTAATCATTAAAAAAATAAAAAGAAAATTTTCCTAAACTAAAAGCTGAAATATATCATTTATACAATACGTTGAAATTATTATACAAAAACATCGTTTCTAAATGGACCAAAGATCAAATAGGCTATTACATCAATGAAACAAGCGACAACTTAACGAAGAAACAAACTAAAATGATTAACTACTATCATATAACGGAATCCTAGGCGTATTATATTAGATAGACTACTTTATACCGATCTAAACAATGATCATATTTTTACTAAAAATCCAGATATTATCAAAAAGGAATGTATTAAACCTTATCAAAATATAGCTAAAAGAGACGATGAATCAATATACACGGATATATCCGACCTACCTATCGAATGGCAAAACACATATGATCCTACTCAACAACAAATAAAAGACTCATGGTACCATGGAAATCACGATTGATGATATCATTAACATATTCCCTAAATTAAGTAGACGAAAAGCACCAGGACCCTCCAAGATCACCAACGAAGATTTAATTCATCTTGACACATACGCGCTTAATATCCTAATAATATTAATTAACAAATGTTTACAACTAGAAATCATACCAACTAAATGGAAAGAGGCACTCTTATTCCCTATTCCGAAACCACACGACTGGAATAGCAAGCTATCCAATACACGCCCTATTACATTACTAGAGACACCCAGAAAATTAATGGTGTCCATTATATCTAATAAGTTAAATAACATTCTCTCATCACACATAATATTACAACCTAATAACCGCGCAGGTATCGATTATTTGTCAAGTAACCTTTATGAATCATAATTCAAGATTTATATAAAGCGTATGATCGCGTAGATATTTCGCTATTAAAATTAGCCTCCGTATACCTAAAAAATCATTATTTTTTTTTATTAATTTATTCACTAATCGTCGAAATTCCATTATTCTCCCTAATGGAGAATTAAGTAATTATCAACAAGGTAAAGTAGAATCGCCCTTATGATGGAATATATATTACGACCCTACTTTACAGAAACTTCAATTTTTATCCAATGTCATTTGGATGTTTAAATAGAATCGGGACGGTGCTGTGCCAATTGAATTCACGAGTAAGTTAACATTAAGTAATGGAAAAAATTACGATATACTGCCATATCCGTTACTATGCATGGTAAATCATTTTAAATGTATTGCAGATATATCGCCATAATTATTGTAAAAATATCGTAACAATGTATTTAAATTATCTAAACTATGTTGTTAAGTGAAATAACATTTAAGTAGTATATATATATATATATTTTTTAATTGATAAACGTATTCTTTTGTTTAGTAAATGAAGTAGAACATATTACTCGATAAATACAAAAAATACATTGAAATTTAGGCAAACATAGTTTACACTAAATCTCTCCATATCAAAATCTCCGTATGTAAAATGAAGTAAAGACTAACGTAACCAGATCGCTATTCTAATGACTAAACTAAATCTAAAACTTATCTAATTCTAAAAAAAATTACTATATACGTTATCCTAAAATTATAATATATTTTTTTTTCTACTTTTCTATTATTATCTAATTTCATACTTGCTTGCCATCGAAATTTGTCTTTAATTTGGTGATATGTTAATCTTGAATCAACCATCCTAAAAAAATAATTTCATTCACCCTTTGTTATCGACACCTTAATTCCACCACTTTTATATATTTTTCCATAAGCATTGCTAAAATGCAGCATGGCTTTAACTGTCTTATACTTATAACATTGTTTGACTCTCATATATTCTATAAACCCTACATTTTTATTCAATTGATTATAAATTTCCATATCATCCCAATAACATGGAATATTATAAAATGTAACTTCTCAGCAAAATTCTTATCCAGAAAATCTTTATCGTGATCACTGATCGCTCCAAGCTTTACCTTACTGATCATCCATTTTTTTGATCTGTGCACGCGCACGCTTCCATTTTTTGCTTACATTAAAGTAGTATATATTTCTTATACAATTATTATTTGATATATTGTGAGATGTTATGTAGGAATCGTCACAATCATGAATAAAATGTGCTCTAATAACTAAATTTATTACAGATAATGGAAAAATACATCACCACCAATTAGTATTTGCTCGTAACCTATTATATATTGGACAGCCCAGTTAAATTACAAAAAAGAAAGGAGAAATTTAATAGCCACCTTTTGGGAATTTTTCTTCACAAATTTTTTTGGTCGGCGCAGCAAAAATTTAGATGAGAAGTGAGGTGATTTACTGTGGAGGCAAACTGAACGCTGAGATCAGCCATATCCGCAGCAAATCACGTGGTCTGTGTAAAAGTGATGATGGGAACCTTATTCTCAAGTCTCATGTTCGCACGAAAAAAATTTTTTGAGAAATTAGTAAAA